CAGGTGAAAATTCAGGGTACAACAAAGTGATGCGAGACACAGAGGCAGCGTCAACAGTACAAAGCTGTATGTTTATCTACTGTGCAACAGCACGGGTTTGGAGCGTCTCCGGTTGAGCTCGGCCCACTACAATGACCTGCTCTGGTAAACATCCTTCAGAAGATATGATATTTTTTCCAGTCACCATTTCCAATGCATGGACAGTGATAACACGCTGCGTTCGTCATGGCTCAACAAGCAGAGCTTGCAGTGCGACGTAGGCAGATATATACAAAGACACCACTGACAACAGTTAATTTAGTTTAGCATATTAATTGCACCACAAGGCCTGCCTCAGCCCCCAGAGAGGTCATTAACAGTCTTCGAACATGGAGGTTGTTTTAAACGGTGTGGGTTTAACCACTGCTGTATGAAGGCAGTGCTCACGGAGAGAGGTCAAAGGCTTTCCTCCATGAGGCATGTGTTCAACACGTCGTTCTAGTGTTTTGTGGCACAATGACTCGGAGGAGTGGGTCATGTCTTGCAGCAGGAGGGCGTTGACAGACTGGATTCGACTCCTCTCATGCTCTGCCAAATGAGCTGGGAGTCAAATGGCTACAATGAGCAGGGCTTATCGCTTGTGCCACCTGAGCGGGGCTCAGTATGCGGTTGCCGAGCTGCACTTTCCAGCAGCTCCGAGCTTCCATTAAGTCACCTTGAGGCCTGCACCGCTGCGCATGAGGAGATTTATTCGGCAGCTGTCATTTGATCGAGTACATTGAGTAACTCACACCAAACCCTGCATCCATGCCAAGCTTCTGCAGCTGACTCATGAGAACATTTTGCCCTTCCATATTATGGGGAGTCATGTTAAAGCTTTGTCAAATCCTGCCAGTGTGCTGCATATTGCACAGCTGGTATTGCTTTTTTAAATATTTCACACAATATCACTGTGACCTTTTGTTGTGTTTACTGTAGCCAAAGGTATTGTCATGTTGTGTCTCGTTAAATCTATTGTTTTGTAGATTCTTGAGAGGCTTCAAGGTGCATTTTGTGTCCCCCCCCCCCCTACTGTTGCCTCTCTGCAGTGGATTTCTCCGGGCCGTACCCTTGCTCTGAGCCACTCCTTCATGATCTGATATTCCTGTTCTTTAGAGTTTAGAGCCAGCTAAAGGAGAAGAAGTGCCTTTTTCTTTCTGCATAAAGGCTTACTTGGAGAAATTACATTCATTTAAACAAGGTCATCTAGACTCAACGGGTAAAGGATTTCCTCTAAAGGGCTTTCGACATGCCAGAGGCTACAACAAGAATAACCCAACTCAAATGATTGGCTTGGTTTGCACCCGTTTCAGCTTCACAACGAGCGAAAAACCAATAATAATCACAAGTTACATCTCGGCCCACTGTACATCCCATTAGTCATCGTGAAACTGGCTTCTTATCTGCAGCCTGTACTTACAGTGAGGTAACAGGCACCCGAAGGCTCAGAATCACCAGAGAAATCCCACGTAAAATCAACATCTTTTTTTATATCTGCACACAACCCATGGCTCAATTCAGTTGTGTGGGATTGGGCTGAAATGCTGTTGGGTCTCGAAATATACAGGCTCCCACATCGGAGGCTCATTGATGCAAGCTTTGGGTCCATGCAACCCTGATGAAATGTCCCTCATCTGTGTTCTGTTTCCATGCTTTTAGTCACCTCTGCCCTTTGTTTGAACAACACATGTACTCATGTAATGTCATGTAGGCAGAGGAAAAAAGTATCTTGTTTATCCCTTGATCTGAAATGCGCTCTTCAAGCAGGTCGTCATTATTGTGATGTATAATTCCCTCTAGACCATCGTGCAATTTGGAGCTCAAAGCTAGTATGTATGTAATACTAATGTAAAAAGTATGGATGAATCCGTACAAGACTCTGTTTGTGACCAATTTAAGTTAGCAGCAAAATACTTTAGTGTAGTGTTTGTGGTTGCAAACACAGATGTGGTTTAGATAATGGAAATTGAATGGACATATTTTAGGGTTTATATAAGAATTATTAGTGGAGAGTGTGGGGAGTGTTGATTTTTTCTCAACGTGTATATGTGGTTTATTTCCGAACTGGTCTCCAAGAAATGAACTGAGCTAAATACTAAAAACCTGATTACAAACAAACTGAGCATATATATATATATATTAATGTCATATACAATCACAAACAGCACAACGTAATGAAATTCGACATAGGCACATAGGCCATCATACGCATTAGGAGCAGTCTGGTGCCCAGGGGCTCAGTGTCTCGCTCAAAGATGAGCTGGGGATCTGCCAACCTTGAGGTTAAAGGATGACCCTTTCCCTCCCCTGAGCCACGCCCACCTATGGGCTACTTTTCACCAATTGTCTTCGGGTGAAGAATGAAAGGGGTTTGAAGAGTTCTGCTCAATTTAACATACATCATTTATAATCTCAGATGCATTGTGAAACAACATAAGACGATATAGAAATATTCTTCCCAGAAATATGCTTTTTTTCCCCATCAATTATCTGATTAAAACAGTCAAGATATGAGCATTCCTTTCTCCTCCCACCACTTAATGCAGTGTAGTTCAGATGCGGTGCTGTGGGAGAATTCATTAACTTAACATGTTAAAGTCAACATTGAGATGCTGGACTTAGCACTAATGTGTTACAGATCTTTGAGTACGTGATCTGAAAGCACAGGGTGGAGAAATGAGATGGAGTGCTGCATGTGGAAGCTGCGAGGGAGCTTAGATCGAAAGCCTCACGCTGGTGAAAAGGTCATGTCTGGAATTTAACAGGTAAACAGCCACGATATTAAACTCACTTAAGAGGCACATGTCTAGTTTCAGAGCCAACATTTTGGATATTTATGCATTTATATGCAGTTTTAAATCTATATCGATCGATCTATCTATCTTTGTGAAAAGGAAAAGTTGTTTTTGATAGCTGATTTAAGTGTTGCTGTTTTTAATCACTGATTGAATTTCAAGTTCAAACAGCATTAAATGCCTGGCTATTTTAACAAGTGTTCAATCCATTCGATCCATTGAGTAATGAGTTGCATCCTGAATGATGAAAGGGTTGCAGTATTCATGTGACTCATACTGAAACTCTTAAATCAAACAGAGTTGTAGGGAGATGGTTGGAGTGGATCACAGGCTGACAAACATTCCCCCGTCTGAATCTGCACTCAACTGAGCAAGGCAGTGCGTTGTTAGAGAGGAGGATCACTCAACCTTATCGTCATTTGCAGTTTTTTGAGAGAATGGTGAGTGTTGAGAGCTCTGAACTTCATGCTAATTTTCATTGTGGTCATAATTATTTTCACATTTTGAAATCACAAACTGGCCTATTATGTAAGGATAAAACAATTTATCTATCTGTCATTCTTTATAAAGCGAATGTCACTGAAGTGTGAAATCCGGCTGCAAACTGAGTGTGTGGAGTCATACTACGTCCGGGCAGTCACACTGAATTCTTTTTTGTTGTGGTATTTGCTGATGAGTAGCCTTTAAACCACAACTTATGCAAAAATCGTATCTGTCATCCAAGGAGACTGCCCTCACCTCAATGCATTTTTAGGACAACTGATGTTTGTGGAAATAATGGCTTTCCTGTCTTGGAAACAAAAGGTGAAAACAGCTCGATGCTATTTTGATGTTACAAAACCACAGTTTCCATGTGCAGAGAGTGCAAACAGCTTTGGACAAAGTCAGAATCCTCTCATATTGACCTTCTTGTATGCACAACTGTTTACTAAAGCTAAAGGCTGGAAAGCTAACTGTTAAATGTGACATTGAGATGTAAAATCAGAGTTTGGACATCAGACAAAAAGTGTGGGTTTGGCTTTGATGCAACAAGCCCTCATACTCTACCTTGACAACACTATACTGCAAGTCTTCGTCACTGCGTTTTAAAATGACCCAGGTCCTTAACCTTGACGGTAATGGTTTAGTTAAGTGCAAGCTGATTGGCTATTGTTAAAAGTCTCAATATTGACCATGGGAGACTTTGATTTGATTTATATGACATACCAAATATATATATATATTACAGATCATACACAACTACATATTCATAAAACAATGCAAAGGAAAACACAATGAAGTTAAAGAATAGTTCTTTCCATTGTGGTCCTCGGCCATGGCTTCTGGCGTCAGAGTCACACACTTAATACACCGAACCACACACCTCACCTCAAAAAGTGGTTAGGACTAGACATGGTTATGACAAATATTCTTAAGTTCAGCCAACTAAGAGGGCTCTGAACACCTTCACGGGTGTTTTTAAATTATTCTGGCTGATTAGACTTCTTCTCAGGACTGTGTTGGTGTGTAAAAGACCAGCTGAGTGACATCTTCCTGAACCTCCTGTTAGCTTTGTTGAACCTAAGGCGGGACACATTACACTGCTGTCATTCTTATTGGTAGATGGAGATTTGTGACCTAATTAATTCCCATCAAAGCCCCAGCCCTCCTTTAACAGGAGCAGAGGTCTAATCAGCCAGAATAACTGAAAACACCTGTGTGGATGTTCAGCACCTTTAGGGAAATATTGTGGTTCGTTTTAATACATGACTTTGATTACAGGTTTGTGGTGAGACACTAACGCTGGTCTCAAGCATGAAATGGATGTGCTACACCTCCATCTACCAGCCCGTGTGTGTGTACTTTTTTATAATACAGTCCTTGTGATTTAGCATAATGAATTTTAGAGGTTGGCTATACCTTTATGCTGGATGTTATCAACCAATTTCATGATGAACTTTTAATTAGGTGATAACTGAATAAAACTGATTTATTGCACCTTTTCAACTACAATGTATGTGTGTTTTTTTTGTACTTTGCACATGAGCTGATACATTACGTTTCCAAATCGTTAGTACACATTCAGGCTTCAGGCATCCGCATGTCTGTCATGTTAGTATTCTATAGGCGGTCTCTCTCGCACTGTGCCATTAGAAAGCTCTCTCCCCACGAAAAACCAACGAACAGGAGAGATGAGCAGGGGCGTGGGATAGGTCAGAGTGACAAAGCCCCGTGATGTGTCAGTCCGGTGTGGCTACTGTCTTTCACCTGGTTGCTGCAGCACGTGGATGGATGCGCAATTGCGCGGCTCTGATTGGCCAGGAACGCGGCGCCCAGCGGGAGCACCGGAGTCCCTACTTGTCATTACTGTTGCTCCGATTCACAAGCCCGTGAACACCGCTGGGCTCAGCGCGTCCATCTCTGCTCGGACTTAATCAGATTCATTTTACAACATTTAAAGCAACGGCTCGCACTATGGATGCTACTATTTATCAGATCATAATTGGGGAGCTCGGGGACCTAAATTGTAGTTTGATAAACGCGCTCCAAGACACTTTTTTTGAAAACGCCTCATTGTCATTGCTAAGCTCTGATGGTAAGATGGACTTCCTTTAAACAAAAAAAAAAATCTTGTTCAATATTGAGTGATGCTGCGTCTCGGAGAACGGAAACTATAAGCGTCCGGTTTTCTTATACTGTATTTCCCCCTCCCCAAGGTTTATATTGCAATGCCACAACCGATGAGATTGGAACCTGCTGGCCGCAGAGCAGCACCGGCAGGATTGTAGAGAGACCCTGCCCCGAGTACATCAACGGGGTGAAGTACAACACAACCAGTAAGATATTTAGCTGTCATGGCAAAAGTTATTTTCTGCATTTATTTGGATTAAATAATTTTGCATCAACAATATATATATATATAAATATATATGTACTTTTTATTTTAGTGTTTTTAAATATGCACAATGAAGCCAAATGTGCTGGGTGTAAAAGTTAGAGTAAAACATAATTTTTTTGGTGAAAATGGAAGGTCAAGTATAAGCAAACACTCATCAAACATATCGCAATGTGTCTTAGCGTCTTATTGCACTGTGGAGGACCTCTGGTGTTAACTCGGTCTGTTGTGTCCCCCTGTGCTCTGAAGTAGAGCAGTGGTGACAGTGAGTCTCAATGTTCATTACGCTGGTGTCACTGCAACAGCTGCAACTGAATGAACATGTGTGCTGTTCAGGCAAATCCCATCATTAGAATGTGATTAGAATTCTTGTTTCTTCATCATCAGATATTGGCCAAACTTGGCTAATGTTAAGATATATGTGATGCAGTTACAGTGGAGTTTTATGGAGAAGAAAATAAATTAATGAATAATCTATCATCTCTCTCTCTCTATAAATATAAAATCCATTACAAGCAGTTATGGGCAACAGCTTCCTTGGTCCAGAATGCATTACAGTCTGCTATTCTGTAACAAACACGATTTTCCGACATCCAGCCCTGTTTTTGGGCCATCAAATCTGGTACTGACTTGAGTTTACAAGGTCTCTGACGATCACATATATAGTTTTGCTGAATCCAGCCCACAAACATTTCAGACGGCTGAATTTATGGTATTGCAACTTCACCATAACCACACCTGTCATCACAGATCCAATTGTGAATGTAGCCTGATGGGGGATCTGACTATATAAATGTGTGGTTTGGAGCTTTGACCCAGTTGAGTAAAGTCTTGACACCAAATTGCAGCCAAAGTTATTGTTGCTGTCTGTAGTTCAACAATGACGTTTTTTTTTAACTTGCTGGCTTCTTTTTTTCTCAACAATAAGCTGAACGGATAGTTTCTATCTGCTGGCTTGAAAGATTGAGCAATCCCAAACCCATTCTGTCTCATCCTACAGTTTCATCAAGGACAAACAGCATTTCACAACTCTCCACCACACTCACAGTGTTACGTTATGTAACTGGTGTATTAATCATGAGACTGATGAAGTTGTTGACACATTCAGAAAAGTAAATTGCAGGTTTTCATTTCAGGGTTCAGGGTGACAGTGAAAGTGTGGGATGCTGGACTTTTCATTTAACACAGCTGTTATCTTTGTAATAAACTCAGGTGGAGCAGTGTCCTAACCCCCCACCACCATCACACACACACACACACACACACACACACACACACACACACACACCATTGATTCACCTTCTGCTCTGCTGGTGCTCAGTATTTGTTTGGCATGCCTGATGGTTTGATGCATGCGGTGTGAAAAGCACAGTCATTTACCATGACAGCATGTGCCAACACCTTCTCTGACATCCACCTTCATTAGTTGACAGCTTCATGGATCGTACTCGTTTTGATAGGCTGATTAGATATTATGGTGAGTTTGCAGTGATTGAATGTTTTTGTAAAATTGATCTTCCAATCAAACAACAGGCCTCTGAAATGCACTGGAGTTTAATGTCATTTTTTTTTTTGTTGGAGGTGATGAGTTGATTGCACTACTCTTGTTTCTTCCTGCTGTTTGACGAATGAAATAGGAAAAAATGAGTACAGGATTCAAAGACAAATTAACTTTTCAGGAAAATTAAGTCACATTGTTGAACAGATGGCATCTTTCAGGTAAAATGACGCAGGTGACAGATGGTTTCCCCCCCCCCCTTGTGTAGACCCGATAAGTAAGGTAATTAGGTAAAAAAGTGTCGACTTAATTTTACAGCAGATTGGACTGTGAACAAATCCTTTTATTTTGCTTGTCTATTAGAGAGGGCTTGTTAACCTTTTGCAACTCACTGTTTACCCGCACACAGTCCTGCCTGCCATTATCAATCAAAATGTTATGTATTCAGGCTCATATTTCCTCACATACTTTGGAGATTTCACCTTTTACAGGGTCGTCTCCCACATAACTTCTTCTTTTCAAAAATTGATCCCTTTTGTGTCACTGCATCCGAGGGAATGCTCGCCAGCTAACAGTGGCAAAATAAGTTTGTCTCTCCCTGATGATGTGTCGTGATTGGCGTAATGATATGCAAATGTAAATATGGAAAGTATGCTTTGTTTGGCTTGCTAGGTTTTTTAAAATGTATTCATTTGAATTATTGAGCACGTATGAATATAAAAAAACACTACCTTTGTAAATTACCCCAAAAATATGTATTTTAAATTGAATTGAAGTATTTGGCAGTACCGCTGTGGCCCATTAGACAGCGCTCTGAGGAGCACCAGTGCGGCCCATTGGTTGAGAATAGCTGCATTAGAGCTGTTCGTGTAACTGCACTTTACACTATGAAAAAGGTTTCAGGCAGAGAACAAAGAAGGAAATAATATGAGGGGGTTTTATAGTTTGGCCACTTTGCAGTCATATTACTGAAATTATCTTACAGCTCGTTTCACATACTGACTGCAGTGTCTTGGGACATTCAGTGGTCCAACTGTAGCGGATGATAATAGACTTCTGCATCATATAATTTTGTATCAGAGCCAATGAGGCAGACTTGATCGGCTTAGCTGCCTGTGATCGATCGTCATATATATGAAAAGCAAGAATTTTAAGAGGCTGATGAGAGTTTGCTGCATGGACCTCCTTAACAAGCTTTTGATCATGTAAGAGAGCATTAGAGTCTCTGTCGATCATGGCCGTGATGTATACGAGCATGGAGTATTTGGAGGGAGGTTAATGAGATTGTAGTGTGATGTGTTTAAACATTGCTTGCCTTAGAATGCACTTATTGCATGTATCAAAAACAGGGTTAGTTGTGTGAAGTCTATGGCACTTACAGTATAGTTGTTGAGGTAGGTTTAGAGAGGAGATGGAGTTTATGTTCGACTTTATTCACTAATGCACCGTGTGATCCTGTTGATCTTTTTATCATGTTTCTAAATGCTTTGTGAAGCTATAGGCTGCCAGTAGATCTCCACATAGACACCACAGATAAAAAACCTACTAGTGCTAATGTATTCCCCAGTCTTATTCCCTTGAATTTCAGTTAAATAATGAGGTTTTTTTTGGACAAAACAACGATGAACAAAAATGAAGCAGATTTGAATTATTGTCCTCAAAGAGATAATTGTCCAAATTTAAGCATATCTATTGTGTTAACTTCGCTGTATTAGGGTGAATGTATGAGTTGAAACCGTTAGTGAAGCTTTTACAAAACTCTTTATTGCATAATTCATATTATTAAGTCACGGGATGCTGCAACGCTTTCCACAAAAAGGGACATGGGTCCTGAGACAATGGAGGAGAGGTGTCCTCGTGCTGCTGGGTCACATTGGCATCACCCATTTTCAGCCATGGATGAATGCAAATTCTAAATCACAAAATAGGTTAGACTAAGAATAGAAGCAGGCTCCGAACATCACACGAGGCATGTCTTAATTCAAACGGTGCAATTACACACAGAGTCTGAAATAAGAGGAAAGCATGCTGTTTTGCAAACCAAAGCCCAACTGGATGCATTTTTTCGCTCACTTTGGCCACATACAGTATCTGACCTTTGGGACCAACAATAGATTCTCTTTTATTTGCCTCCTTGGAATGTCTCAGAGGTAAACATTTAATGCTACAGGCCTGCATTTTTAAAAGGCATGACCCAGTAGTGAGCGACTGTATATTTCAAGACAATTCCCTGTGCTTTGTACTCCCAGTTGTTGAACAGTGGAGGATACAAATGCTGTCTTCGGTTGAACCTTGTAGCTTCACTGGACTTTAAAGTGAATGGGCCTAGTAAGTTATATGTCAACAAAATTGTAACTTTACAGAAATCTGACGTTTTCACAGGCTTAACATGCCTGTTCAGGTGAGGGGCTGTACATTCTTTTCCATTTCTTTGAGCATTTATAAATATTAATATTTGTGCGGAGTGGCTTAAGAGGTTTATGCATTTTTAAACCTTTCCGTGTCTCTATTTTTTTGTGTGCATGTATTTAGGTCTCTGGTCTACATGAAAGTTATTTCACCACAGTTGAGGCAGAGATTTGTTAGATCTGGTTTCAGGTGTTTCTTTTGTCATCGCATGCTTTGTCACCATGTGATGTGTTTTCTGTCACACATCAGGCAAGACCAAATTCATTTTTGATGTTTTCTCTGTTCAGCCTCTAAGAGTGTAACCGTAATTATGAATCACGCTTCTTCTAAACTCACCTCCTCCCTGTGTGTCTCTGTTCATTGTCACTGATCCCGTCAGCACACAGTGTACCGTTAGTCATCACAACTCAAAGTCAGAATTGCTGCTTCTACAATGGAACTTTATTGATTCTCTTATCTGGAGTAATATAGTGTATCAGCGCCGTGGTGGACACATCGGGAGAGAAGCAGAGCTGCTGCATGTTGGGGATACAACTTGATGGTTTAGTTGAGATTAGGTGCGAGTCTGTGCAACAATACCTCATCTTTCAGAGGCAAACACGAAACTAAGGTAAAGTGGTGAATAAACAGAGACCTGTCTCTTCATCAAACATGAAAATGGCATGCTTTCTCAAAGTTTGCAGTGCGTCTCTGTTGCTTTTTGTCATGTCAAAACATTGTACTGTAGTTGCAATCATGAGATGCTTTTTGCAAGAATAAATCTCTTATTAAAATTGTTCAAGAACCACTTGTTAGATGCTGCAGGATGACCCCGTCGGCACAAACAGGTTCACTTTTCAAAGCGACTGAAGATGTAATGTATATTGTTGGGTGGCGTGGTTGTGTAACTGAACGTTAAGAATATTTACCCAAGTAGTGTGAAATAAATCAGTTACTCTTGTGTACCGTCAGCATAAGCTAATGACTCACCAATGTTTACCGCTCAAGTTTGATGACAGTTGAAATATGTCCCCATAGTTCCTTTGTGGAGACAT